TGGTGGGGCATTCGAAATATCCGTGCAGAAGTATGACTTATCTGGTCCACCATCTCATCCTCTCTCCAGCCCCGGGTGGTGGTGCATGGGGCTAACGCTCAAGCTTCGCTACTCTGAGCACCTAACTTCTATCCCTACTCCTATAATTTAAATCACGGCTGGGGACCACTCCTAAAATTTACGCTGCTAATTCTAGATCGCGCGAGGTCTAAACGTTGAATCATTTTTGTTGATTCGAGAGTGAATCGCTCTTTAAATAGGAACATATGCTGCAAACTGATTGCTCAATAACCGTACATTAGCCGTTTCATTTTCGAAGATTTCTGATTTTATTTGGCGATTTCGTATGAGACTGCGCGGGTTGCTCTGGCAACGCTGCGCGGAGGTTTGAACTCTTTGGCTCCGTTCTGCACGGGGCTGCACGTTTAAGAATCCGGTCTCGTGGGCGTCACGGTGCGGCGCGGAGCCGCAGTGAGAGTGAACGGAGTGAGGCCCGCCCTGACCTACGCCACACGACAGTATACGAGGTACAATGGGGCTTGGCGACAACACTTTACCGTGACTTAATTTGAGTGCGGTCCTCATATGGTCTCCTTTGGCTTTGTCATGGGAGTGTGAGTGTCACCAACATAGTGACCATTCCTCACCCGCAACGCATTATTTAGCTATGAATTTGTGAAGGCACTATTCCATACTTCGAATTATTGGGCATATCATTGGTTTGGTGAATCATTTTTCGAGAGGCCGTCTTGCGCAGCTGTCTTCTTTACGTGAGCTGTGTTTGGCGATTTGCTGACGAAAATTGCTGGGGGAGGGGCGGACATCATGGCGTTTAAGTGTAAAAAGGATTCGGTGCGTGGGGGCCGGTCACGCGACAGGGATCGCGTGTCCAAACCGTAGAAGCGCTGGGGTACAGCCGTAGCCTGGCGGGGTACGGGACGACAGCCTGGCGCGGTAAAACCGGGCAAAACCATGCGGGGTACAGCACAGCGCGGCTGGGTACACATCTCGGTACACAGCAGCCCGGCGGCGAGGCGGTAGACAGACATTTTTCAGTTCGGACTTTGCAGTGCAAGCGTCGTAATGACTCGTCAAATGAAGATTGACGGGTCGCCGTGAGTCACACAGTGCAGGTCCTCCCACAAGCCGCACAAGTTGGCAGGTGCTATCCAGCTGCTCCAGGAGCCCGGCTCTCTTTGCGGCTCCGCTCGGCTGACGCGGCTCGGCTCGATGCGATGTATACGTGCCTCGCGGCCCGGTGCGGCTCGGCGTGGGATTCTGGGGTCCACCGTTTATGGCGGCATGAGTCAAGGGCCGCTGCGGCCCGGTGCCGGTTCAGCGGGGCGGGGCGGGGCGGGGCGGGACCGGACCGATCAGACGAGTGTGAATCATGGAGGGAAACCAATCCCGACAGAGCCGGTCATTATCCAATATCGATTACCGCCATCACCATTGCTTTCAGGGAAACACACGCCTTTTCATTTGGGCAATTGTTCCGCTGAAACGCGACGGATGGCGTGCGAGGACAGGCGGGCGGCGTCCGAACGTGATATGGCTTTCCATGGAATCGGCCCGAGCGGTGCGGTCGAACCTTTGTGGAGAGGAAAATCAGTCATTACATGTCGTTTTTCTAGGCACGGCTCGAGGCACGCTTTCTGCTACGTGGAGGGCACGGACGGACGCTCCTCAACTAGTGCCCCGCCGCGCTGGAGGTCGTCATACCCATGGGGTTTCTGATGTTTTGTTTTGGGTGTGTGTTGCTGTTAATTTTGTCG